GACTGGAACATGTCAACACCAAAGATCAAAGTATACTGCTGGAAGCATCACAGATATTGTCATCAGTCAAAATATTTATGGATTCTGAGCCTTGTCTGTCTCACTTTCCTTCTCTGTATCCTTTCCCGATGCTGGATTAATTCCTGTATCATTTAAGAACTTGGCAGTCATTACACTTGCAGACTCTCCTTGTTTTCACAGTTACATGGAGACATACCAAAGCACAAGTAATTGCACCTTAATACGGTGCTGCGCTCAACATTGAAATTGCAGTTTCCCACTGACATTATGAAAGTGAAAGTGTGAAAGTGACGTGACATGTGGCCAAGTATGGTTAACCATACTAGGAATTAGTGCTCTGCATTTAATCCATCCTAAGTGCACACACACAGCAGTGTCAACACACACACACCGTGAACACACACCCGGAGCAGTGGGCAGCCATTTATGCTGCGGCGCCCGGGGAGCAGTTGGGGGTTCCGGTGCCTTGCTCAAGGGCACCTCAGTCGTGGTATTGAAGGTGGGAGAGAGCGCCGTACATTCACTCCCCCCACCTACAATTCCTGCCGGACTTGAGACTCGAACTCGCAACCTTTGGGTTACGAGTCCGACTCTCTAACCATTAGGCCACGACTTCCCCGACTTTAAGGCACTAGCATTGATCAGTTAATGCACTCTCCCATTTATTGATATATTTTTGTTTTTAAACTCAGTGTTTTAAAAGTAATTTTTGTTATTCAATTATTTTAGTTGTTTTTAGTTATTTTTAAACTTGACATATATAGTGAATCTTGTGTGTGTGTGTGTGTGTGTGTGTGCGTGCATGTGTGCATTATTATTATTATCATATATTATTGATTAATGGAAAGTGCATGTTACATACCAGAACAAAGTCATAAAAAATAACATTATTTTAATAATAAATGCATTTATTTATTTATTTTAATTAATTAATTAATTAATTAATTAGAAGTAATAGCTGTTTGGCTGTTGATTAGCATTATTTTGTCTGTGGAAAAGGACAGTTGTTTCAAAGGAAGAAAACTTTGCATTTTGATTAAAGAATACAAAGCAAACTGTTAACATGATAACTGATAACATGCTCTAATTAATCTCTTACACTAAGGCCTGGGACACACTAGACCATTTTTAAATCTTAAACGATTTTAAAACCATGGGAGACCACAGACATGAAGACAGTTCAACTGATTTTTAGCCTTATAATCCTCTGAACGCGCACACTAGACGATTCGACCAGATCGCAAGGCCACACACTTGTTGATTGTAGGAACGATTTCACAGTGACACGTGATCTCACGGAGACTCGCAAGATCAAACGTGACTAGAGAAGAAAAACAAATAGAGGACAATCAACAATGTCAGCTGGCTCTCCTGGCGCGCATTCTGTTTCACAGTGAAAAACAAAGTATAAAAAAAGAATATGGGTGATGTTCTCTGCTTTCATGACATGTTTGATATTTACGATTTGAGTTCGGGGACGCTCCGTCTCGATCAGGAGCCGATAAATACTCGTAATGACACCACAGAATAGAGGATTTTTTGGACAAAAAAGCCAGCCTAAGTTCAGGAACATGCATTGTGGAAGTAAATAAGGTCATGAAGTCTGAAACGACATTGAGACGAGCAGCGTCTTAAAGAATAAAGCGTGACAGCATGCATGTATCTGGTCCTGCAGAGAGAGTCCAAATGGCTGGATTATTAGCATAGCATGCCTCGTCTGCTAGGGCCTGTGCTCTGCTAACCCCCCTCCCAGATGCAGATTGAGTCTGGAGGCCTGGAGTGAGCAGACTGCTTCATTCAGGGTTCAACCGCCTCTTACCAACCCTCCCATATGGCTCTGCTTGTGTGTCATTTACTCAATATGCGGGACTCCGATAATTATGTAAACCGTAGATGAGCGTATTAACAATTAACCGCATTCTCGCTCCTCTCTCTTTAGCCCCATTTGTTACGTCTTCCCTCCGTCTCTGCTCCATTTGGCGGGTTGTCCTATAGATGCCTTTGGAAAAGAGGCAACGGCAAATCGTAATCGCTTGTCTTGTCTCTGTAAGTGGCGATGGAGAAATACAACTCCAATAATGAGATTTGGCGGCACATTAGCAATGATGATTGCTGTGGCTGAATGGTGTGCTGCTGTGTTGTTGCGCTTCATTCAAAATCAATGATACATTGTTTAGGGGAGCTTTGTTCCTCAGCTGAACTGCCGGGCTAATGTTCCTCAGACTCTTTCAGACGAGAGAAAGGCCGTTTTACCGTAATCCCTCCCCCTAACGTGGTTGGTCTTTGCTGCTCGATTGCAGGCTTTTTTTTTTTTAAAGGTGGGGTAAGTGATTTCGGGTAGCCAATGTTGATATTTCAAATCACCAAAACAAACACGCCCCTACCTCAAAAATATCTCGCCCCTATCTTGATAGCTCCACCCCACACATACGTACGCAACCCAGGCAACGATTATGGCGGAATCTGCTGTCCCAGCCGGCCGAGGGTATGATGTCATCAATAAGTGAAAGCAATGTGTTATGGTAATACAGGTCGAATGTGTTTTGGTAGTACTGTGTTTTTTAATGTGCATATATGTGACCCTGGACCACAAAACCAGTCATAAGGGTCAACTTTTCGAAATTGAGATTTATACATCACCCGAAAGCTGAATAAACAAGCTTTCCATTGAATGAGTGTTTTTTTTAAACCCTTAAAACAGGAAATGTGGAGTTATCTGCTTTTGACAAAAAACGACTTTTGGAGTTATCTGCTTTTGCTATTAAACAAACATTTAATATGTAAAAAAACATACTTTCAATGAACTTTAATTTTGTAAATTACCTGTATTTAAGTTATTATTGCTTAATCAAAACAACTCAACTGCAGTTTTATTGATATTACTTGGAATGCGCAATAAAAAACGTGATTTCTGAAGAAAAAAAATGGAGTTATCGGTTTTTGCAAATTAACTCTTCATATATTATTTCTGTGAAACAAAGCAAAACCAATGTTACTCACCTATCGAGAAGAAACAAAGCGACCTCGGCGTCCAATCGCAGGCCTTCCCGCTCCTTGAGTTCTCTCCAGCGCTGAAAAGCTGGTCCGATATTTACATGGGTCACAACACACAATAAGTATTGAACCTATACTTACCTTATCGTAAGCCTTCTTTTGTTCCGCAGATGTTTTCTTCTTTTGTTTTTTATCCGCCATCTCTATCTTTCTGTCGTCGCTCGGCACGGCTAATGTCCATCCTGTGCACTGAGCGCTCTCTTGTCCCCATCATGAGTAGACATGCCCCTTACTGCTGATTGGCTACAAGTTTGTTTTGGTACTCGGCCCGACTCAGTTTTCTAAAGCGTTTTTGAAAAAAATACATACCCCACCTTTAACAACTCTCAGCGCATTTATTTAATTTAACATATGAGATGATGGAGTCAACCGGCAGTTTTATCTCATTGTCCAGACACGTATAGGCTTCTGATACATTTTTTATTTTATGCTAGATTTGCTTAGAACCAGGGAAAGTGGATGTGGATTCTTCTATTGCAGAAAGAACAAAGCTAATGATTATCTCATCAAAAGCAAGTACACGTTCTTGCGGAGAAAAAAAATCTCTGCAATGCTCGTCTGTGTTTACTATTGAGAATAGTACCGAACTCACTGGAGTTTAAAGGCCTAGTTTATAGTAATATCACATTTTTCTTTCTCTTACTCGTTCTCTTTGTACACGAGAGATTCTTATCCATTATTTATTTGAGTAAAGTTCATAAAAATCTCACAGCGCCAGAAATACTCAATTTTGTTCAAGATCCAGGTGTCAGTGCATTGGCTTTGTGTTGCGTCAGACTTATTATTGTCAGCAGGACATTTGAAGTTATTTCAGAGAAAGACCACATAAAATCATTTAACTGGGTTTAGGACATACTTCCAACAGGGAGGACAAGAAAGACAGTTATTGTTAACGTTTCAGTTGGTACTTACAGTGTATTGAAGATATGACCCACACACCAGCCCTCTAATCAGCTGGAGCTCGCAATATGTTGGTAACCCAGCAAGAGTGGCTACGTCCAAGCATGCTTGCTTATGCCAACCAAAGTAGAGGACATAATGAGAGAAGTAGTCTACCCATGGAAAGGGCACTTCTTCTTTGGAAAAAAGAAAAAAAAAAGGTGTCCATGTTTTTTTTCCATTTACTCATCTGACCTTTATGAGCACTATTAGCATTTAGAAAAAAAGAAGGTTTTCTCACTCGCCCACATCACCTACAGCTGGCTTTTACTCTTAGAGGTAATTGCAAAGTTGGACAAGCAATATGAATCTACTTTTGGGAAAAGGTAGGCAATAGAGTTCCTGACATCTGTAAAGTGGCAAACTTGGCTCAAATATGTCCTTCTGTCTCAAATTGTGTGAAAGGAAAAGAAAGCCATAAACATCAGGGACATTTCAGTGACATATTAAATGATGTGGGGGTGGGGGTGGTATTTATTCTCTCATTTCTTAGAGTCACCTTGAACGTCATTTGCTCAGCACTGTAAAACTTTGAACCTCGGCTGAGCTCCAAGAGTAATGCTGTGCCGGGTTGGATTTTCCTTTGAGAGTGCCAGCTCGATCCACCAACATGTTAGAAAGCTGACGAAAACAAAGATGAAGTCAAGACCAACATGAATATTTCCCCTTGAACTGAACTGCCATTGATTTTTAAAGCCCAATCAAGCCGTGCTTGCTTAAAGAAGGGGTGTTTTTTCACTCTTTCTGCAATCTGACATTGGCAGTGTGCAGTAATGGGGAAAGATTTGAACATTAGGGAGTCTCTATGTGAATTGCAAGTGTATTTCCGACCACCGGCATAAGGCACAATAGCATAGAAAGCCGTGGCCTCATTTAAACCATGCTCTACTGTCACTCACATCCCTGCCATAGTCCACCAAATGAGCAGGCAGCAGGTGTTTTCACCTGTGGCACTGATGGGTGTGTTTCTACATTTTTCTTTGCAGAACCTGATCAAAAACCTTCCTGAGCAGAAGGAGCTGATCAATCTGGCCGAGCTAAAGAATGAATACGAGGAGCTTTGTGAATCTGAGCAGTTTGGAATTGTGGTGAGTACTGAGATTGTAGTACCTTAAATCACTAGCACAACTCCAGCACATTTCAGGGCTCCAGAATAAATGTTTACAAATAAAAATAAATTTATTTATTCAAATAATGAATGCATTTATTAAAATGTATTTTATTTATTTATTTTATTTTATTATTAATATTATTATGCTAAAGTCTGAAATGTGTATACAATTTTATTTTTAAATTGGTTCTCAGAAAAAGTGTTTACAGATGTGACAAACCATAAAAAATGTCATTTTTTGTTTGATTGTTTAAATAAGTATCATATGAAAGTGTTTAGTTAGAGATGAACATTCACAGTAGAGCTTTGATGTAATAAATGGAATTGCAATTGTAAGGTGGAATCGATTCAGAGCAAGATCTGAGAATAAAAGGTGGGAACCATAATAAAGTCAATGTTTATCTTGACTTTTTCTCCCCAAAAAGACAGAAATACTGTTACAGAGTTAAATTTATGTGGCACAAATACTGTTCTGGATCATTAGAAGAACAGCATGAAATTGGAACAGAAAATTATATTAAAACACCATAATCTATGTAACAGACTTGAAAACACAGCACCAAATACTTTTTATGTTGAATCCATTACAAAAATAAACACATAATGGTTTGCAGAGATTCTGGAACCACCTCTGAGTCAGTGTCCTTTCAGTGTCCTTTCAGTGCTATACATCCAATGAACTGAAGTGCATATTTAGTGCATGTTGGCATCTGTAGTACTGCACTGTAATCTACTGCAACTGTTCCACACACTAGCTGATCTTTGAATTCTAATAAGTCATCAGTAGATGAATATGGATCACACAATGAACAACCATCTGTTTCGAGCAATTCTGTAATTTAGCAGCTAAAAAAGTAATTTGGTTCCTGAATGTTTCGTTATTGGTCAGTATTTTAATCTGGACACAGCTATTTCCACAGATACGGTGCAGGTGCCAGACCCGGTGCCCAGTTTGGAATCATTCCGCGTGTTTTATTGAAGAAATAACAACATCAGAGGCCAAACAAAACAGTTGCACAAAACTTGTTCGCTACCATTTTAATCAACAACCAAACACTGGGCTTGGCACCAGCACCAATAATTTGGTGAAAAAGAGGGAATCTCACACTAAAAAGCATTTCAATTGATGTTATCCTTCTCATTTTCTTAGTCTTTTCTTCCCCTCTTCCTCTTTCATTCTCTCTCCTTTGGCTCCAGTTCACTATTTCTCCTCTACTTTTCGTCACACTCCAGTGCATAACCCTTCACACATCTCTGTTCCACTTCCGCCTATTTCTCTCCTCCACTCTCTCTCACTCTCTGATACTAAAATCACCCTCCTTTCCATTTCTGTTGTTGTTCACACCAATAGCTCTCTACTTCTGTGTGAAGGATTTTGAGCTGAAAAGCAGGATTGGGGGGCAGTGGGAAATTAGGCACAGAGAGAGAGAGAAAGAGAGCGTGCTGGAGAAAGAAGACTGCCTTCAGGCTCCATGCAGGATCAGCGCTATTCGATATATAAAGAGACTCAGTAATGTATAATTAAAAGGCCAAGAATATAAAGGGCATTTTTTATGACAAGTCAAATTTGGTAGCCTGGTTGTGACTGACAGAAGCTATGATTTTGATGAATAATAAAGAGTGAGGCAGAGCTTTATTTTACTACAGAGCATGATTAGGTCCCGAGTTCTTAAACTGGAAGGGCTTTTAGACTTACTTCCTATATTGACCAAATCCCATTAACGTTGGCCTTTGTCTTGACGTTGTCTCAAATATTTAAGCTTCTCTCTACATCAGTTAGTTCTGCACAGCGCACAAGTCTACACTTGGTGTGACTCGCACCTGGATTAAAGGAATAGTTCACCCAAAAGTAAAAATCTGTTATCATTTAATCACCCTTGTGTCCTTCCAATCCCCTGTGGTTTACTTTATTACATGGGATGAAAAAAGAAATGTTAGAGAAGATGTTTTTATTTAATTGTGACCAATTAAATTAAGCTTTTACCTCATTTGCTTGTCAATTCCAGTGTATGCTATACATATTTATATATATTTAGATGTATTTGCTCCTTTATTTTAATTTTTTAAAATCTAATTAGATTGTAAACCCTGTTTAAATATGTTTGGTAGATTATTTTATTTATTTATTTATTTACATCTAATTGTAATGTAAGAAATGTATTTATGTCTAGATTGTGAACCGTGTTATATATATTTAGATGTGTATGTTTATTTATTTATTTATATATTTATTTGGACCATAAGCTAGGTTTATACATTTTGATTTTATATATGGATTTCTTTCCTTGATTTATTTGCTCTTTTGCAAAGCAACCTTGAGTTTAAGAAAGGTGTTATATAAATAAAACATTTATTTATTCATTCAACAATGGATTTGCTTTTATCACGGATCTCATAGGTGCAGCTTCCATAAACGTTGTCGTTGTCATGACAACTGGTGACCATTTGGTTTTCTGTGAGTTGTGAGCAAGAGTAATAAAAACTAATAAATCAACATTTTGGGGTACAGCAGATGCAATCTTTCATTGTATAGAGAAGAGCATTCCACATAGCATCTCCTTTTTTTTGTCAGATGGGTTTGAAATAACATTAGGGGGAGCAAATGAAGGCAACATTTTCAGTTTCCTTTAAGCACTTATTTTTTTCTTTTTCTTTTACATGAGAACTCTGCTTTACAGTTGCAGTCAGGTGTAGTCCTGTCATGCACTGATCTATCTAGGTTGATGCATATGCATTCCTTCACTGGTATTATGGCGCATCTGACAAACCTGCCTTTGACAGTAGATTCACACAGGAATCAATTCAGCACAGGGTAACAGAACAACCCTCTCGTTCTCTCTCTGTATGTCTTTCACTACCTGTGTCTTTGGAGGGCATAATGAAGCACGTTGTGACAGTCTCCTCCTGTGACTGAGCTCAAGGCGGGTAAGATACAGGCAGGCTGTGGAAGCACCTCATCAACACCACCTCGCACTGCTCCTTGGGGAAATAAGTCACTTTCGGCTTGTCTCCCTCCAGAGCTGTCACCAACTCACCCTCTTTTATTGTGATTTCCTCTTATACAGAGAAATCAAATCTAGATGTGCAGGGAGGAGGTGGGGTGGGGCGGTGAATGGGGGCGTGGGCTGACTCAGGTTTTTTTGATCGGCAACTTGCTCATAAAGATGAATAAATGTGAGCAGTAATGGTACATCCTGACTGCATCTCTGGGCTGCCTGTGAGCATCAGATTATGCAGAAATCTGGAGCGAGAGTGTCTGAGGTCGCCCTCCTCAACAAGCAGCTCCTGTAGGATCCTTGTTGTTGTTTTGTTTCCTCGCTCCTTCCTTTCCTCCTCCTCCTCCTCGCTGTCTTTTAACTGAAATGTCATCTCACTCCAGCACCAAACTAGTTATATTGTTGCTGTTATCACAGTTAAATGTAATTATAGGTGAACGGCAGAATCTGACATTTATTTGTTACAAGATTTGTAGCAAAATTTCTGTTTTCAGTGTCTTAATTTTGTTTATGGCTTTTTTTGTATCTGTGCCATGCCTCAGACTTATTTAACCTTGTTTCTAGTTTTATTGTGAGCGATTCATCAGTGTGCAGTATTCGAAGTAAAAAAAATAGTTTAGTAACCTCTAATAAAAATGCAGTAACTTGCTGCTTCTTTTTTGCTTTAGGCCAAGCTAAATAGCTATCATCAAATGAATACAATAACCGATTTCATTCTGAACTATTTCATATCCCAAAAGTAATATTTGTGTGTGTGTTGTGATAACTGAGAATGTTTAAAGTTTAAGTTGTTCTCTCTCCATTTCAGATGAGCTCAGTCAAGATGCTGCGTCCCCGACTGAACGGGATCCTATTCAAGCTGACATTTGAGGAGCAAGTGAACAACATCCGGCCCGATATCATGAATGTGACATTCGCATGCGAGGAGGTGAAGAAAAGTGGAGGTTTCAGCATGCTCCTGGAGCTGGTGCTGCTGGTCGGGAATTACATGAACTCTGGCTCCAGAAACGCTCAGACATTCGGCTTCAACGTCAGCTTCCTCTGCAAGGTATCAAACATAATCCCTTCTCTTCGCTTAAAAGCCAATCAATCCAAAGTTCTATGTTGCATTCATAATAACATCCTGGAGAACTTTGATTTCCTCATGTATCGTCCTGCATGGGGTTTGAACCTACGGTCTTTTGGACACCAGACCAGAAAGCTTCTACTTTACTGCTTACCATTTAGCAGATACTTTTATCCAATGCAACTTGGAGTACTCATATTACAGACACGGTAACCCTGGAATAACATAACAGTGATGGATTGTGGATCATCCCTTGTGGGACTGGAACCTGCAACCTTCCTGATACAAGCCCAGAACTACTGAGAAAGGCACATGCATACTTAACCTCAGGTTAAAAGCATCTGTTAAATGACAAGTAGTAAATTATAAACCTGTTTAAGCAGCAGATTTGCATGAAACTGAAATTGTCAGGGAAGAAAAATCCTGTTAGGTGTAATAGCCATCTTGGGTTTGGTGATTGGTGACAGTTATAGACAAACTTGACAGTTCTCCCCCGAAAGACAGTATTCTTCAGAATATGATCTTCTCTAATACGGCAAGTGTGTGTTTCTGAGTTTATTTATAGAGCTGGCAGGTAAGCCTCCCTACTGAGATTGTAACTGTTACCAGAATGTGTATGAAAGCTGTAACTGCTGTTGTTGTGTATGTAAGATGGACATCTGGCTGTGTGTTTTACAAGCTGATTTGGATGGCGAAGCCATTTGGTCCCGCTATGAAAGACAGCCACCCCCCTGCCGGTGTTCCCAGGCAGCCAGAACTACACCGTCACTCTTAGTTACATCTCTTTGCTGGCCTTGTCATCTATTCGGAGGCATCCCAGATGCTGCTGGGACACAGGTGTCCCAACCACAGGGGTTTAAGCTGGAGCCAGTTGTGACATATCTGAATGGTTATTCTGACTTTTTTCTATTTACTTTCCAAAGGCCAATGAATTAGTGTTTAACACAAGAACATATTTTTTCAAAAAAGCTGTGGCAATTTCATTTAAGAGTTGTATAGTGTGATCTTTAATCAACGTTCATTTTTTACACCACTCTCTAAAATGCCTCAGTACCAGCACACTCTTGTGCTCTTAAACATCCGAGCCCTTGATGAACATCTTGCTTTCTTTTAAAGTGTGCTTGCATGCAAATTGCCACTTGATTAAACATGTGGATGAAGTTTACGTTGTCAAAAACTGCATGCACATGCATTTTCATGAGGACGTCCTTCACCTATTTCTGTCAGCTCCTCTGTTATGTTTTTGCTCATCACTGCACTTAAGTAGTTCCAGTGTGTGTTTGGTCCTTGGTTGGCATTTGAGTGGGCTCAATGCCATACCAGCTGGAGTTTGCTCATGGAGATGTTTAAGTATGGGGGGTTTGGAGGTGACATGAGCATTAGATGGTTGAGTTTCTCTCTCTTTTTTTATGTTTGTGTTGGATGGTGTTATGGCCCAGAGGGAGGACACCCCTGACAGGTGACCCTGCCCCGAGCATAGGCAGTTGAGCGGGAGAGGATTCAGTGGCCATCAGAGCTCGACGCTTGGCGGTATTTACTCTGACCTTCGGTGTAAAGCCTGTCCTTGGGTCTTGCAGTAGTGGACTAAAACACTGAGCTCTGTTGTCAGGTGCCAGCAGGGTAGACATCTATATAATGTAGCTCTTATCAGCTGTGCTCTGACTCCACGTCGTGCACCATAAAGTAGTTTTTAAACAAGTTAAACATAATGACAGTATCTTTACACATTGGCTTTCATAGATATGTTGTGTCGTTCCTTCCTTCCTGATGTATCAGTTGTGTTCTTTCTTTCTTTCTTTCTTTCTGACCTACTAACTCGTGGTTCAGTAGCATTGCATTCCTCCCTCCTTTCCTCCATCCATCTGGTTTAGTAGTATTATATTCTTTCCTCCCTTCTTTCTTTCTTTCGTTCTATATTATCCTTCCTTCGTTCCAGATTCATGGTTCAGTAGTATAATTTTCCTGCTCTTTTCCTTCTTTCCTGACTTGATAGTTCAGTATTATTGCATTCCTTCCTTCTCTTTATTTTCCTTCCTTCTTTCATTCTGTCATTTATTTTATTTTGTCCTTTCTTTCACTATTTATTTCATTATATGAGCAGTCTAATGTTTCAGTGTTGCATTCCTTCCTTCCTTCCTTCCTGACTTATGGTTCAGTCTTATTTCATTCCTTTCTTCTTTCCTTTTCTTTTTCTTCCTTTCTAACTTCCTTTCTCCCTTCCTTCCCAACGCATGGTTCAGTAATATTGCATTCCTTACTTCTTTCTTTATTTACCCCTTCTCCTTTTATTCTGTGATTTCTTTTATTTTGTCCTTTCTTTCACTATTTATTTCATTATGAGCAGTCTAATTATTCAGTGCATTCTTTCCTTTCTTCTTTAATTTCTTACTTTTTATCCTTTCTTCAGTCTTTTCTTTCTCTAGTTTCTTTATCTTCATTTATTATTTGAGCAGTCTAATGGTTCAGTACTGCATTACTTATTTCCTTCTTCATTTATTTCTTTCCTTGCTTTCATCTCTTCTTTCTCTCACCCATCCGTTCTTTTGTTATTTCTTTATTCGAGCTGCCAGTGATTCAGTATTATCAGTCAGGCTCACATTTACGGAACATTAGTGAAGTGCTTGCAGTGAGGACAGCTTTTCGCTTCAGCACTGATTGGGCAGTTATTGATGGACAAAGGGAAATGCCCACATTCTCAATCAGTTCAGTCAAGTAAATGGCCCCCTGCGTGGCAGACCTCAGCCTGCTAACGAGCTCATCAGGGAGGGCCAGTCGTGGGCTGACCCGTGATCCGCGACTCTCACAGTCACACTTTGTACCAACTGTATCTCCATAGATGTATCTCATTTGCATATTCCTGAAGCTTTTTACAGGTTAACATTGCTGTTAGATCAGAACTGGCTTGAAAAAGCACTGATGTGTTTAAGTCCTTCTACTTTTCTTTAAACATCTGGTGTTATGAAAGAAACAGCCAACCATAGTCACCGCCACCAGTGAACTAAACCGTTTGTGCTGTGTTTTTGGACCGAGAAGCTTGCTTTTGTCACTGCTTATTAGACAAACACAGCTCTGTCAATTTTCAGGCAGTGGTAAACAGTGTCAACTGATTCCTGCAGTTCTAATCATAGAAGTCACTCCACTCAGACATAATGTATTCAGTGCCAGAGTCCTTTTCTGGTATAGTTTATTTTGAAAATATATAGACTGTGTTAGATCTAAGGTTAGCTAAGGAAGCAAACTTAGCTGTATTGGACAACTCAATAAATACAGTATATTTTTAAATATTTGTTTAATGGCATCTTTTTTTCTGACTGAAGGCCAGTATCAATGATACCAGTACTGATTTCTCTAAAAAATGTGCCCCTCCCTAATATTTAACCATTGACTATAGCCATTCAACATTATAGTATTTGAGAGCTATCAATTTTAAAATGTATTAGACTTTAAAAAATAACTTCTAATTTAAGTGAACTTAAAACTATCTTCACATAATAAACCCATTATAATAAATGTCATACTTAGCTGTATTGGACAACTCAATAAATGGCATTCATTTTTATGATGTTTTAAAGAAAACAAATGTTATGACAGTTTGTTTTTATTTAAGTACTGGGCACAATCATAGCAGCTGGTTATTAGGTTAATTTGGCTGTTGTTATTTTTTTAAGAGCTGCCGCTGCTGAATGTGACACGGATCATATTTTCTCTCAGCTCTTTTTACCTTTTCTGACCCACTTCAGGTGTTAAAGTCTCTATTAATGAGCTGACGAGTTAAATCGGATCAACGTGTTAGATGAGTGAGACAGTGCTGGGCTGCTTCAGGGCAGTTTTGAAAACCATTTCAGAGACATGTTCTTAAATGTGACTCATAAAATATATTACATGCATGCACAGTTTTAAGGCAGCTTTAATCGCCTTTTTGGTAACTTCATGACTTAAATGACTACGACATTGCATGCACAAA